TGCCCATGCGCATTTCAGAGCTGTCATCAAATGCTCTTGCTCGTAAGGTATTCATGTTTCATTCTTATGGTTCATTATTGTGGAATTAGCAACAGAAAGAAGTATCATTACTGCTATAACTCATCATTCGAGATGACTCCGTGGGTTATGATTTTCTCTTTTGTGTCATTTTCTTCTGAATAAATTGGTCCATGTTGCATGTAACAAGACTTAAGTAGATACAAAAGGAGTCTTCTACTCTTTTAGGGAAATAAAACATAGAGGCTTAGGAGACATTTGGCAATTTGACTAATAGTAATCTTTGATGAGCGTACTTATTATTTTTTTAGGAGTTTTTCATGATTCTCTCCCTTCCATTTACTCTTTCTTCTTTTAAATTGGGCAAGTGACTGATTGTTTTCTTGTTTTAGCTTCTTGCTTCATCATCTACAATGATGCCTTTGCGCCTCCATTATGATGCTGAGGATCCAAATTCAGTTGAGAATTGGTTAGAACGCTGGTCAGGTACCCAATTCTGGAAACCAGTTCCTCAACCAAAGAAAAAAGTGGAATCCAAATCTCAGAGGAAGCAGGTTAATGGTCATGCTGTTGAAAGTGAAACAGCCCGACCAAAGCGAAGTGTCCGTAGGATCCCTGCAGCAAATCTTGACAGTGTCACAGACTCACAGTTCCAGCAACCTCTGAGTTTGAAAAACCCAAACGTAACCTGAGGAAATTTTCAAGTCATCCAGCTGAACCAGTGCAAGAGAATCCACAAAATGAGCTTGAAAAGGTTAAACGAAACTTGAGAAAGGTTCATAATCCTGTAGTAGATAATTCTGTGCAAACAGAGGTTGAATAATCTGAAAAACCAAAGCAAAATCTGGAAAAGGCATCAAGCCCTACAAGCCTTGATGTCGCAGAAAAGAGCCTGAATAGTTCAGTTGAGAAGATGCTAAAAGAGGCAACCCCAGAACTGCCTAAAACACCTGAGGTTGAAATTACATCAGGACCTTTAGAATTGAATGAGATACCAGATCCATCCAATGGTGATCATGCTACTTTCAATACAAATCTTTTGATGGAAGAAAGTGGTTAAGATGAGAATATTCCTGTGACAAATGGGGAATTGAACCACATGGAGGATCCAATAACTAATGAAATTCCAAAAACTAGCCAAAAAACCTCAACTCCAGCCAAGCAAGATCGTTCCGAAAATGTGCCTCGGAGCAGTCCAACCCTGCCAAGCTATATGGCAGCAACTGAATCTGCTAAGGCTAAGCTGAGGCTACAAGCCTCCACTAAGTCGGGTCAAGATGGTAGTGACAAAAATAGCCTCAACAGACGCCATTCTTTGCCTTCTGCCAATAGCAAAATAAGCTCACAATCACCAAGAACACAGAGGCTGGTTCAATCAGGTAGCAAGGGTGGGAACAAAAATGGAAATGGTAAGAGAATGTTGTTTT